CGCGGGGCCTCTGCCCACTCTCCAGGCTGCCTCTCCCAGACCCCGAGTCCACACCCGTCTACAGGCTCCAGGTCAGCTCCTTCAGTGAGTGGCCAGAAGCTCAGAGCCTTTCCTGACACCTCCCCTCCCACAGCTCCACCCAGCCCAGGCCCTTCTGTCTCCAGGTGGCCCTGCTGGCCCCACAGCTGTCCACTGCATCCCCCACAGCTGTCCACTGCATCCCCCACAGCCCCGTCTGACCCGCCACCAGTGGCTTTGACACACTGTCCCTCCACCCAGCAAGCTCCCCAGGAGGGAAGGGGAGGGAGGTGGACACCCTCGTGGGAACACAGGGAGGTGGTCAGGTGGTGGACATGAGGGGTGGTCATGGTGAATGCAGGGAGGCAGTCAGGTGGTGGCTTAAGTAGGAACGAGTCCCTGGCAGCTCCAGGCAAACGTCGTCCTCGGGCCTCAGCCAGACACACCTGTGTTTCTCATCTGCAGGGCTGGCATTGGTGCCTGCTATGCTGCACCCATGCTGGGCCCAGGTGCTGCCCGGTGCTGCCCTCAGCCCTGGCTCTGGTGCTGCCCGGTGCTGCCCTCAGCCCTGGGTCTGGTGCTGCCCGGTGCTGCCCTCAGCCTGGCTCTGGTGCCCGGTGCTGCCCTCAGCCCTGGCTCTGGTGCCCGGTGCTGCCCTCAGCCCTGGGTCTGCACCACACTCAGCTCAGGAGCCACCTGTGGATGCAGCAGGTGTCTTTTCTGCCTGGCAGTGTCCTGGGGCTCCCACGGGTGGGAGCATGTCACAGTACTTCTTTCATGTCACAGGATCTGGGGTCTTGGCTGGGAGTTTGGCCAGTGTGGCGCTGGGAGGCAGTGGACCTTATGGGTGCCAAACGGGCAGCACCCAGCTTCCCAGGGTGCTGCTGGGGCCTTCTCCTGGGACCCAGGCCCGACCCTCCTGCTCTCAGGCCTTCTCTCTGGACATGTGCCCTCCACCAGAGGCAGCGCCAGCCGCTCCGCACGTCGGCCTCAGGAACGTGGACTCCACACACCTCCCTTCTGAGGTGCCAGCCACGTGCATCAGTGGTGGTCACACAGAGGGACGGTGCCAGGCCCGGACGGCAGTCTGCTCACCCCTCCACCTGCCACGGCAGGTGCTCCTCCACCTCTGGCTGCTGTGAACCAGGGACGTGAGTGCCCCTGGCCAGTCCCTGTGTCTCTGGAGGGCGTTCGCCCAGGAGGCAGACTGCTGGGTCACGTGGGGATTCTCGTTTTGACTTCCGGGGAAACAATGCACTGTTTCCTGTACAGCTGTGCCGTTGACACCCCCACGGCAGTGTTCGGCGTGTGGTTCTTCACACCTCGCCAACTGTTGCCACACACTGGCCAGCTGGCTGCTGGCAGTACTGTCCCCGAGGGTGCAGTGGGCCCGTCTGGCCGACTTCCTCAACCCTCAAGTGAGTGAGGCCGAGCGCCCTGGGTGCTCACTAGCAGTCTTCTCTGCAGCACTCAGAGGCTTCACCTGGTCTCCAAGCTGTGGGTCCCTCACATACCCGGGCTCGAGCCCCTCCCAGAGACACAGCTGGCCAGGATTTCCCTGAGGCCGCCTCCTCTGCTGAGTGTCCTGCACATGGTCTGCATGTGCTCTAACTCATCTTCTTTTTTCTTTTTTTGCCTGTGCTTTGTGGCCACGTCCAAGGAATCGGAGCCCAACCTTCTGGAGTTCCGCTGTGCACCTTCTTCTGCGGAGGTCACTGCAGCTGTCAGGTGTGGTCTCTGATCCTCCTTGGGTTGACCCTCACGGGTGGTATGAATCAGGATCCAGCTGGGTGTTTCTCTGTTGTTGCTCTTTGTAGAAAACGTGCTGATTTAGAATTCTGTATGTAAATGCCAACCACCTAGATGGGCCAGAGAACCGCGAGGAGGATGAAGTCTCTTCAGGAATCATCCCAGAGCCACGTGCAAAGGGACCAGATCACAGAGAGCACACGAGTCTAGAGAAACCACACGCCCACGAGCAACCAGGCTGCGCTGGGCTCTGCACGTACAGCATGAGGTCCAGCCACCTGCACGGACTGAACCGTGTCCTCCAGGGTCCTTGCTGAGCCCTGATCCCAGCTGGCCAATGTCTGGAGAGGGAGCTCAGCAGACGTGAGGGTCATGGTGGTGTGGCTCTTAGCACAGGGTCCCTGCTCACTCTCCCTCTGCCACGCCTGGACACAGCGAGGAGGCTGTCGCATGCCGGGAAGAACCTCAGCAGACCCTCGGGCTGTGGGCACACACTGATGCCTACCACTGGAGAGTGAAGAAGACGGCAACACAACCACGTGCCAAAAGTAACCAAGGAAAGAACAGAGACCTACACATAAAGCCTGAAGTTACACAACTTTAAAAGGAAAACACAAGAGAAACCTTTACTAGCAGGGCTAGTGAACTTGACTAGCCAAAGGTTTCTTCAGTATGATATCGAAAGCAAAATCCATAAAGGAATATCGGTAACTCAGATTTCATCCAAATTGGGAACTTCTCTTTGAAATACAGTGTTAAAAGAATGAAAGACAAGTCACAGACTCAGAAAAACACAGGCAGAGTTTCTGTCTGATACAGGAGTTGTATCCTGAATATATAAACAACTCTCGAAATTCAATACTAAACATGCAAAACAACTCAATAAAATAATGGGCAAAGGTTTGAATGCTTTAGCAAAAAAAAAAATATATTGGAATCAAAAAGCCCATGAAAAGATGGTCAAGGTCATTAGTCATTGCAGACATGAAAATTACAGCCAGTGAGAGGCCACCACCTGCCCATCAGACTCAGGGAACTGGAAACCACGGACCTCACCGAGGGGGCGGGTGTGGGGGAGCCGGCATGCCTTCACCGCAGAGGAGCCAGCAGCACCTTGAAGGCACCTGGGTGAAGCCTGAGCCTCCCGTGAACTGACAGCCCCGGGCCCGAGCTTTTCCCAGGAGGGCCACACACGCCCGCAGCCCTCGGAAGGCACAGGTGAGAACCGGGTGGCTCACGTGCCCTCCCACAGCAGGACAGGAAGCTACGGCCATCACCCTGACCACCAAGCCACACGGGGAAGCAGAGAAGCAGCCCTGCCGGCCACGGCCAGGGCTCCCCTCAGGGCAGGCTGCGGCGTGCCTGGGACCGTTCGTGTGCCGCCCTGCAGATGCGGGCTCATGGCCAGAAAGTGGATCTGCGCAGGCTCAGTGCTGAAGGGGTGCTGTGTAGACCTGGGAAAGGGGTGGTGGACAGATGGTAGATGTCGGTATATACAACCGCAGCCAGTCAGACTCTTCATGTGGAATATTAGACACCAGGCACACATCCAAAACCTGTCTGAGAACAGGCAAAAGAGAAAACTCTCTAGATTCTGTTCAATCCACAGGAAGCCCAAGGACAGAGGAGTTTGTTAAATGAGACCAGGGAGGTGTGACCAGCAACTCCCACTGTCAACAGCTCTGGTGGCCAAATTATCAACACCTTCAACACAGTTCAGGGAGAACAGCAACAGCAATAGGCAGACTTTTGGATCCCCTCAAGCTAGCAGATGGCAAAGAAAAAGAAAAAGAGGAAGAGGAAGATGAGGAAAGAAAAACTTCACAAAAGAACAGGAGAAACACTGTGTGGGTACCAGGTGACACGGCAGTCACCTAGATCTCTCAGGTGTTCAGAAGGAGATGACCCGGAGCCGGGTGCAGACCACAGAGGCCCCAGCACAGCCAGGGCTGCCACAGGTGGGACGGTGTTTTCGAAACTCTCTTCTTTGGTATTATCTTACAAATTTCTGTAGTAATAAATAATGAAAACCCAAAGAAGAAGCACGACCCGCGGACAGGGAGAGAGCCAGAAGACGCCAGGCAATCGCGGCCTCTCCTTGGGTGAGCCGTGGGCCATGTCTCCCAGGTGCCCTGTGTGGATCTGGGCTGGTGCTGTGCAGCCCAGCAAGGCAGAGCGGGGAGGGGGCGCAGCTCGGAAGCCAGGACTAGGTGGGGTGTGAGGACTGGTGGGTGGGTGCTGCGTGTCCTCCTTCCTTTGATGAGATCTAAGATGCCCAGCGACACTAGGAAACATCAGAGGCTGTGTCCCCGAGACCACCTGTCCCCTGCCCCACTGGCAAGCAGCCAGGTGTCTGCTGAGGCTACCTGGAGTCACATGGGCAGCCTCTCGGTCCAGCCTGTGCCCAGGCAGGCCAGTGGCTGTAGCTGACGGTGCCACTATCATGGCTGCCAGCCAGCACCAGGAAGGTGGCCCTCCAGGGTGGGTGGGGCCGGGTTCTTCCACGTGGGAGCAGCCCCGCCTGCAGTGTTCTGGACACTCATGAGCAGATGTCACTCCACACAGTCCAGGGACACACACTGCAGCCAGGACCCTGACGCAGATGCCTGCCCTGGGCTTCTGCCTTGTCCTGACAAGGCAGCCTGCCGTGGGCAGGAAGCCAAGGGCCCCCATAGAGAATGGCCACCAGCATGGATCCCACAATGCCCACCACGCTGTGGTGCTGCTCAGACCCAGGACATGAGTCCATGAACCTCCTTCTGGTCCCAGACCACACATCCACTATCACACCCACCCTGTGTGCTGCACCTCCATGCACCTCCATCCAGCCACGTCCACCCTCCACCTGGCACCACGTCTGCCCCGTCCACTGCTGAAGCCACCCTGCCATCTGTGAGGTCCGCCCTTGCTGTCCACACTGCATGTTCATCTAATTCCAGAAACATCGGGGACACTGGAGATTCTGAAACACTCACTCGAGGTTCGGAGCAGCCCGTGGTCAGTGTCCTAGGTGGGAACCTGCCTGGTGTGAGCTGTCAGGTCTCCAGGGGGTCGGTGTGGGCCCCACTGGAGGCTGTCCAGTCAGCCCACTCTGTCCAGTTTGCATTTGGACAGAGTGAAGACAGAACCACACCCCAACGACAGGCCAGTCGGCCCTGAGCGGGACATGGCCCCGGGGCTCCAAGAGGCTGCCCCTGTAGGGACAGCCTGGACCAGGACCAGCCAGCCGTCACCTGTGTCAGAAGCTGCTCGGGCGCCAGCCGGTTGATCCAGCGTGTGTACCGCTCCGTGGAGCCCGGGGGGTCTCTCCTCACACGGCACCCGACGATCTGAAAGAAGGGCAGGCAGGACTCAGCCAGGCGTGGCGCAGCGTCCTCCCTGGGCCTGGCGCACACCGACAGACCCCGCCACAGCCAGGGACAGGTGGAGGCGGGCAAGTCCCTGGGCCAGCGGAGGGCAGGCTCAGGTTAAGGTGACCACCTAGGATCGTTTCCAGTGTGGCCACAGCCTCAGGACAGCAGCCCCACGACCAGAGCACCCAGGAGTCGTCCCCCTGAGCTGCACTGCCATCTCAGAGCACCCGTCACAGCCCTGGAGTGCCCTCCTCTCCGTCTCCTGCCACCTTCGCAGACCCTGTGCCCCTGGCCTCAGACCTGACTCTCCCGCACACCCTGTGCTTTGGCTGCTTGCCTCGCCTCAGCCCACACCTTCAATCGACACGACTGTCGAGGGTCCACCCTAGTGGAGGGACAGGCAGTCCGGTCGGCACACAGACAAACGCCTGCACAGAACCTTCACCCAGGGACACTAGGGTCACTTCGAGGCAGAGGACTGGCAGTTTCCAGGGGCCCCACGCAGGAGTAGAGTGTTTCTCCTGCCTCTGGCTGCAGAGAAAGTAGGCATGTTGGGGGCAGCAGGGCCCAGCCCTCGAGCTGACGCTGTACTGGGCAGGCACAGGGGTTGAACCCGGGGTCCTCGACTACTGAGCTACACTCCCAGCCTTTTAATTGGATGCAGGGTCTCCTAAGCTGCCCAGGCTGGCCTGGAACTTGATATCCCCCTGCCTCTGCCTCCAAGTGGCTGGGATCACAGGGCCACTGTGCCCCTCCAAATGCTGTACTTTTCATACTGATGTCACCTTGCTTGAACTGCGGATGTAAAGCGAAGGACTTTCTGCCCTTTCCTTAGGGGAGCTGCCTGGTGAGAGGGCATGGCAGTACTGCAGGGTTTCTGTGCCGGCCTTGGGAGTACCTGCAAGTTTGCTTGGGTCCTTGGTGCCTTCCTCACCTGTCCCCCAGAAGAGCCCCACCCCACGGGTCCCTCGCTGCACCTACCCACCCAGGCATCAGGAGGGCATCAAGCCCCGGGGAGCTGAGAAAATGTGGGGCTCCAGGTAAGCCTGCTGATGGTCAAGAGTGGGGCCAGCACCCTGGGCCCAGGCAAGCGGGGCCACAGAGTCCCTGGTGCGGCCTGAGTGGGCCAGCAGGGGCCAAGAGGGTGATCTGGCACGGCTTACAGAAGCCCGGGGTGCGCCCAGCAGGTGACACGGCGTTCCACCAGAGGCCGGCTCTGCACCACACAGGGCGCCTCAGCCATCAACAGCCCCCCAGGCCCCGAGGACATCAGGAGGCGGCTTCTCCATGCGTGCTCCACTTTTCACTCCATCGTCCCAGCCTCACCTGCTCTGGACGGGAGGCCGGGGCAGGAGGAGTGGCAGGGGAACTGGTGCCTGACCTTCTGCAGATGCACAGGGCAGCAGTAGAGGCCTCTGTGCTCCTCACGTGCCACATCCCGCAGCTCTGTCCGTGCCTCTGCAGGTGACCCCTCAGGAAGGCCCTCTGGCAAGCCGGGCCCCCAACTAGCCTAAGGCTCCCGAGGCCACCTCCTTCCCCAGATCCAGACCTGGGCTCCGCCTGAACGCTCACGTGGGAGGCCCCGAATCTGCGGCAGCCACAGCAGGTGCCAGCGGGCACCGAGACCCCTGGGTCTGGGACACGGAAGGGGACAGAAGTAAAAGGTGCCAAATTCAAGCTCCCCCCAGGATGCCAGCTGGGGGTGGGAATCGTGCTGGACACGGAGGGCTGCCCTTCTGTGAGCCTCTGACCGCCCACCAGACGACCCTCCACGTGGGTGTGCCCTGGGGGGACCAGACTGGAGGGGACAGTGTGGAGCACACAGGAGAGCAGGGCAGACGCCAGGATGCACACGCTGACCTGAGGCACATGGACACGGAGTCCCATGCTGCCCTCCCTCCTCCCCCAGGAGGCAGCAGTCTGTCCTGGGAAAGCAGGCAGCACTGTGTCCTAAAGCTACTGCCAATCTGGGTTTCCTGGGACAGTGCCCCCTGCCTCCCTCTGTGCCGTAGGGAAGGTGAGCTGGGGCCCAGGGCCTAAGGCAACTGTGCCTCTGCTAGAGACAGCTGGATGAGACCCAGCTGGCTCTGTCCCCAGCAGGACGGCTTGGGTGGGCTCCCAGGGAGGACGGGAGCTGCGGATGCTCAGGGCTCACGTGCTGTTTAGTGAGAGCTTGGCTTCTGACATGCATGGGAGCAATAGAAAATCTAGGGTTTGTTTTCAGAATGTCGTGTTTAGTCTTCAGTGGAAAACTGGGGATTAAGATCCAGTGGTGGCCATTCTGAGCTTTTCAGCCTGAATCCAATGGCAGCAGGTCTAACTAGGGCCCTTCCCCCTGCTGGCCCTCTTGACGTTAGCCAGAGGCAAGGACTGTGGCCCGAGCGCCTCTGTCGGAGCGGGGGCAGCCCTTCTGCAGAGGTGGCCTTCGCCTTGCCCCGTGACTGCTGAGTGCCCGCCTGACCTCTGGTGGCCTCTACATTTCTAACCTGCAGCTAAGAACCACCACCTGGCTGGGGCTGAGGCTCACTGGTGGAGGCTTGCAAGCATACATGAGGCTGGGGTCTCAGCTCAGCACTGCAAAACCCTCTTGTTTGATTGATTGATTGATTGATCTATCTTTGATTGATTGATCTATCTATCTCTCTATCTATGGTGCTGGAGCAGGGTGAGGTGGGTTGTCTGAGGCGCCTCACACGTGCTAGGCAAGTGCCCCACCACTGAGCCACAACCCCAGCCCCCCAGAGCTCCCCACACAGGGCGCAGCTCCTCCAGCCCTCTGCGGGGAGGGTGCCTCGGTGCTGGGCTGCCTGTGGGGGGCAGTACTCACGCTGGTGGGGTGCTGAACGGCCGCCTCGTGCTGCAGCCTCACTCTTTCAGGCATCATCACGTCATCCTGGGGGAAGAGCACACTTTGAGTTCAAGGTCACCACCACCTGCAACAAGCAGTAAGAAAAGGGAGACGCACCAGGAGTCGGGGAAGGGGCAGCCGCACAGGCAGCCACACACAACCCACAGGAAAACCAAAGTCCTGACCATTCCAAGAGTGGCCGGAGGCTGAGCAGAGGAACTCTGTGCCTGCGGGAAGCGGCATGGTCACTGGAACAGTGAGTGTGGCCCTGTCTGGCTGGGGGGCCCAGCTCTCCACGTGCTTAGAGGAGATCAAGGAAGACGCTTGGGCCATCCACAGTGCTCTGCTCAACACAGCCCCTGTCCACCCAGAGCCAACTCTCTAGAGCCACCCACATCAACTCAGACCCAGGGTGCATGGAGGAGGCGGGACCAGGATGGCCACACGTCCCTCCCTGAACCCAAGTGCAAATCCCGCCAAGCCAGCAGGCTGGTGTGGGTGGAGAGTGGCCTCCTGCTGCAGCAGCTCTCCCACCTGCGGTCGCAGGTCCAGATGTGGTCACGCAGGCACAGTTAAAGGCACAGACAGGTCCACTAAGAAAACCAAAAATAACATCCTTGGGAGGATATTCATTTTAAATGGAGGAAGGTGAATTCAAGGACCCCTAGGGATGCAAGGGCTGCCCAGCAGGAGCCAAGAGCTGGGCCTCCAGCCTCCAGGGCTCTCGCCAGCAGGCCAACACTGCCTCCTCTCCCTCGTGAGCTAAGCCAACCCCCACCCAGGTTTGCCCTGCTGGGGACTCCCACCGCCACCGTGGGAAACGCCGCCGTGTTAGGAAAGCGCAGACTCAGAGGGGCCACCAGTGGGCAGCACCAGTCAGAGCTGCAGGCCCCAGGACCCAGCTGCCAGCCAGGCTCTCCCTGTAGGAAGCCTGGGGCTCCATGGCCTGGGCACAGAGAGGGGAGGGGGCAGTGGGCGGACCGGCCTGTGAACAGTGAGGCTCACCTTCACACACACAAGGCCCCGCTGGGAATCACCTGGCCAGGAGTCCTCGGAGGATGCAGGCTGAGAACCACCCATCCAGAGCACACACCAGGTGGCACACTGCTCCCACACCAGCGTGCGGGTCCCCTCCCTCACCAACCCCACAGTCCGGTGCTGACTGCTGTGAGCCCTGGGGAGGTCCTGGATGCCCCCTCCTCCCCGTGTGGGAGAGGCCTTGGCCAAGCCTGTCAGGTCACAGAGACTGCCAGTAGGCCACCCAGGCTTCCGTCTCGCCCGTCCTCCACGTGAGCCCCTCTCGTGCTCCACCGACAGCCTGCTCCCCAAACCCACCAGCACCCGGAAACTTCAGGGTTCCTCCCTCCTGAGCTGTGGGCCCAGGAGGCCTGAAGGCGTGGGGCTGGAGGTGACCACGCTCCCTCGTGCTGAGGCTCCTACTCTACCCCCGGGTTCCTGCAGCAGACCCCAGGGGCGGGGAGGCCACCCACAGACCCCAGCAGGCTGCCTTCCCACCCAGCAGCCTGCTCAGGCTCACGAAGGCCCCACTTCAGAGACCACCGCAGCTGTGGCCCAGGGTCCCCGCACTTCAGTCTGCCCAGGCTACAATGGTCTCACAACCCCTTGGGCTCGGTGAGGAGGCTCGCAGACCTGGGGAAGCAGACCTCTGCACCCTGAAGGACCCCCTGAGGGAGGGGGTACCAGGGGACACCTGCTGTGCTGCGGGGGCGGGGGGGGGGGCTCAGTGCTGGTGGGGGCTCTCAGGTGGGTTCCACAGTTATCAGCTCCATCTCCAGCCTGACCCTCCCTGGAGGAGGGGAGGTGCCACCTCTGCACGGCTTCCAGTGACCAGTCCCAGCCCCAAAAGCTGCCTCAGCAGAGCACAAGATGTACCGACCCCATGGGGTTCAGGAGATCCGTGGAACCAGGGCAGAGACCAAAGGCCACTTACCAAACCACAGACCTCCAGGCCACAGCACACAAGACCCACACACACGACCACAGAAACCCCAGGAAACCTCAGAACCTTCCAGAACGGCACCTCCAGGCCACAGCACACAAGACCCACACACACAACCGCACAGAATCCCCACGAAGCTCACAGAACCTTCTAGAAACATGGGACCTCAAGGCCACGCCATGGAACTGTAAGACCAACACACACAGATGACTATCTCATGATTATGAAAGGGAGATGCATTTATACACCCAACGATAAGTCTATTTCTGATCATCAACACTGCTTCCTAAACATGTTTTAGTAGCTTTTTCCCTGCTGTTTCTAAAGCAGAGCAGGAGGTCTCCATCCGTGGACAGCAGGCTCCACTCCTTGGGGCTCAAGGAGAGGCTGAACATCATGGCAGAGTGTGGGGGGGAGGAAAGCAGCTCACTGGGTGGTCAGGAAGCAGAGCTGATCTCCACTTGCCATATTCACATACACACCCCACAGCCACGTCCCAGTGCCCCACCTCCTCTCGCCACACCCCACCTGTTTCAGCCACCACTCAATGAGTTCCAGCAGGTGATTAAGTCACTGACTAGGTGAAGGCTTTTAGAACCCAGGGCTTCTTCTCTGAACGTTCTTGCATGGTCTCACATATGAGCATTGGGGGACACCTCACATCCAAACCAAAGAGATTTAAAGTTATATTTTGATTTTTATATTTTGTTGTACTTTGCTAACATATGTAGATTTGTGATTATAGTTACTCTAAACTGTGGATTCCAATTTTTTTTAAAAAAAGTTAAATTTAGTTAATATAAGGACATTGATGTAACTGTAATACTATATTACTATTGGCTTTTTAAAAAATATTAGATGTATTCATGTTCTCCAAGCATACAAGTCTTTTAAAATGGTTAAGAGTATGCTCCTTACAGAACTTTATAACTTTCATTATTATGAAAGTGAGAGGCAGAATTGACTTTATAACTGTTGCTGTTAATGTTTTGCAGAAGTGCTGCTTCTAATGGAGCAACCTGGGTTAATTTGAGATAATAAGCCACCACCTACAGGACAGACAGAATATGAAGYTGACTTCCAGTGCTAATGCTGACCCCAATTAAATGGAACCATAAGACTGTAGACATTGAAGTTAAGTCCAGTACTCCCACTTCAAGATTGGTGAAACTGGCCTGTTAAGACCAAATCCTGGAGACCAAAGTTAGGAAGTAAAAGGACCAAGGAAAGAGTAGCCAATGTTTTGGCTCTTGCCCTCTAAGGTCAGCCAGGACCCAGGGAACGACAGGACCCCTCTAAGGGCTGGCCCTACGACTCTGGTGACTCACCTGACCTCCTGATCAGGGGGATCAAGAGGACCCTGGAGAACAGGAAGCCAACCAGTGCACATTCTGCAAAGAGGATTGTCAYAGGAGAGGAAAATGTCCCTGATGGTTCCAAGGGAAGCCACACATGGTCAGTAGAACCCTGACCCATCCTGGAAGATGGCACCACTGGTAGAGGAAAAGCCAAAGGAGCCCAAGAAGCTTGTCACAAGTTCCCAAGAGTGACCCCTGACAAATCTCAGCTGACTCAGTCAATAGAAAAGAGGTCCATTTTGACCAGGTCTTAGACACTGGCAGGAGAGTATAACCAAAGCACAGCCAGACATGGRCATTTAAAAGATAAGACAATGGTTCTTTACTTGAGAGGTACATTTGTGTCAGTCCTCTCAAAAGTAAGTAAAACTGTGAGTTTATAAAGGAAGGGTTTTATGCAGGAGGGCCTGATGAATATCACAAAAGCTCTGTCAGAGTCACGGTTTGTTCTGAGTCAATTTGAGACCTATCTGTGCTTCTTTGGCTGATATGATTATTATGAGCTGCTGCTCAGAGTCCTCTTTTGGAGTTTGCAACTCRTCACTTCCAGCCTGGCAGCTTGATTTTAATCAAGACCTGGAAAGAGGACAAGCTYTAACTGAGCTGGGAAGGACCTCAGCAAGCCTTCTGATCACTGGCCGGCTATCTGAACTGCTCAGAGGGCAGAACTCATTACTATGGGCAGTTTYCTCCTCAAAGAGTTAACCTGTCCAGGACAGATGGCAGTACCAAAGGGTACGAGAACAAAACTGAAAATGAGACCAAAGATATAAAAAGGGGGACTTGTGAGAAATAGAAGCCCAGTGGTCCATTTTCAGAATATAGCATTTAGCCTTAACTGGGATGTAAGCCACTTGAACTACAGCCTTCCCTTTGCCCGCCCCAGTTTTAAAATTAGCCAATCTTGTGGACTGTAACCCCAAGCCCCTCCTATCAGAGCAAGAGCCAGGGATGCATCAGGGATAAAAGCAGGTGGACTGCCCCCCAGGTGTGCTTGCTAGCCAGGATCAGGGATAAAAGCAGGTGGACTGCCCCCCAGGTGTGCTTGCTTGCCAGGGTCAGGGATAAAAGCAGGTGGACTGCCCCCCAGGTGTGCTTGCTAGCCAGGGTCAGGGATAAAAGCAGGTGGACTNATAAAAGCAGGTGGACTGCCCCCCAGGTGTGCTTGCTAGCCAGGGTCAGGGATAAAAGCAGGTGGACTGCCCCCCAGGTGTGCTTGCTAGCCAGGGTCAGGGATAAAAGCAGGTGGACTACCACCCGGGTGTGCTTGCTAGCCAGGATCAGGGATAAAAGCAGGTGGACTGCCCCCCAGGTGCGCTTGCTAGCCAGGGTCAGGGATAAAAGCAGGTGGACTGCCACCCGGGTGCGCTTGCTAGCCAGGGTCAGGGATAAAAGCAGGTGGACTGCCCCCCAGGTGTGCTTGCTAGCCAGGGTCAGGGATAAAAGCAGGTGGACTTCCACCCGGGTGTGCTTGCTAGCCAGGGTCGCAGTCCTTCTGCAGTCATTTGCCTTGCTGAGTAACGTTTGAGGATGTTCCTGATTCCTTGCAGCACATGGAAGGGCATGGGAGAGATCTGAGGCATTGGGATCTGAGATAAGATAAGAGCAAGAAAGCCAGAGCTGAGGCTGGAGGCTATGAGCCCATAGAATGGGGAGGCCCAGCCTCTGCTTTTGGGAGCACTGCTGTGCTCACCTGGCCTGCTCACAGGCATGCCATCTGTCCAAACTCCACGTGCACCACCACTGGTACCGAGGTGAGCATGAAGGGCAGAGCCCAGGCAACGTAAGACGAGATGTTCCCTTGTGAGTTAGTTCAGCTGAGCCAGAGCAGACCCTGGGCACCAGGAGCCTCATCCGCCCTGCAGGAGCCTGGTGGCAGGGAAGAGCAAGGGTAAAACTTCATGCTGCTGTGCCTAAAAGCAGATCCAAATCCAATGTGCCCTGGCACAATCTGCTCACCCATACCATCACCAGGCTGCAGTCCGGAGTGCTCCCAACAGGCAGCAGTCTCATGCTGTCTCTGGTTTTCTACCACGGCGTATTTGCTTCTTTCTAGTTTTTGGTTGCACACAGCCTCATGTGCCTTGGTGCAGAGATCCTCTTCTGGGATACGAGCAGCAGGCTCCAGGAGCCCCAGGCCTAAGCATTTTCTCAAGTCCCTGACAGAATGCCCAGGCGCACTATCACCACTGACACCTGCCTGCTTAAAACACGTCGCTAATTTGGTTTTCAAAAGCATCTCGCTAACTTCAATTGTACGTGATTAAACACTTATGTGTTTTTAATTTAATTTGTCTGACCTGGACCTCTGCAGGCCACCCATCGCTGTGCGTTTACATCCACGTTTCTGCCAACGTCCATGGGCTCTTCCCATTTAGCTTGATATCTCAAGTATCCCATCTACCAGCATTGTGCCACTTCATCTCCACTTGGTTTATACTCTCTGTGGTGCAGTTTTACACTTTTATTTCATCTATCAGGGTTAATTCACTACATGCTCTGGCAATTAAGTCGTAACAACCCATCAACTCACCTTTAAGTCTGATCATAACAGAGAAAAATGGTTTTCTAGAACCAAGCCAAGGACTGGGGTTGTGGCTCAGTGGTAGAGCGCTTGCCTAGCATGTGTAAGGCACTGGGTTCGATCCTCAGCACCACATAGAAATAAAATGAATAAAATAAAGGTCCATCAATGTCTTAAAAAAATTAAAAAAAAATAATAATCAAGCCAAAATGTACAATCACTACTCAACCAACATGTACACACACATTATAAACACAACCAAAGAGGTACTTACTGAATCCAAGAAGCAAAGGTAAGACCCTGAGCTCTGTGCAATTGCTTGATTTTTAGAATATCCAACTGTTGGAAGAAAGAGAAAAAGTTCTAATGATTCAGTTTCCAACTGCATGAAGCTGAGTGTACTTGACACTCCAAGGAACCTAGGGACAGTCTGCATTCCCCAGTCGGGTCGGCGTTGGAAACCCACAGTGAGGACATCAGTGGAGAATGCCCACAAACAGTGATGGACATCTTCCATGGACCCACCGGGCCCAGGAAGAGCTGAAACCAAGGGAGAGCACTGGACCAAAGCTGCTCGAGACAGGGAGGAACAGGAAGGGGTCTGCACAGCGCCCTCGAGCTGGGCAGACAGGAACCGCCTGCACAGTACCACCTCAAGAAAGCCAAATGTTTGCCTGTCGCACCCTCACAAGGAGGGTCTGACCTCCTCCACAGGAGAAGAGCCTGGGTCCCGCTTCAGGGGGACCTCAGCAGCTGGCAGGCAGTGAGAGGTGTGTGGCTGTGCGGATCTGAATCTTCACCTGTGTGAACCACCGCACTCCTGAGCACAGGCCCCGGCCCACCCAGCCTTCCCTGCGCGGAGCACATTCAGGGAAGTGCTTCTGTGGGAAGCTAGCAGGCACACTGCACTAACGGTGCCCGGGCTCCCACGCACGGTCCCCACCCCCAGCCTGCCTGGGAGGGGTCTTCCGTGAAGGCCAAATGAGCTGGTGACCAGACAGGCAGTGTCATGGTCTGCCACCACCTTTGCTGTCATTCGCAAGGGAAGATGCACGGCCTCCCGGCCACGGGTTTCAGAAGCAGTTGGCTCTGCGTGCTGTGGTCCACAGCCAGGGTTTGTCGAGTTCTTCACTTCAGACCAAGTGGAGACTATGAAGACAGAGATGAGTTTCAGAAAACATTAGTGTCTTCCAGACACACAAGACGGTGACAACGGCAGAAACATCACTGGCCACTGTGGGCGCCCCTGGTGCTGACCGATCCTCGCCCAGGGCTGGACTTTAGAGCAGTAGCTCTCGACCCTGTTGTCCCTCAGAACCCCCTGGGACGTTTCTAAAATCTCCATGCCAGGACTGCACCCCAAAGGGGATAGCACTCAGCACTGGTTCCTAAAGCTCCAGGTGACTCCAACATGCAGCCAGCACTGAGGACCATTACTTCAATAAAGACGTGGCTCCGACCCAGGGAACCTGTCCACCATGAGACCTCACCGCCCCACGGCCACCTGCTCAACCCCAAGCAGCGAGGTCTCCGGGAAACTGTAGGTACTCGGATCTACTCGTGCTAAGAATACAAGGCTGACCGTGGAAATGAAAACAAGGACGACCCACAGCACGAAGCCTCAGAAGCCAGAGCACTAAAGGAAAAGGGACCTTAAGACAACCAGAGTCGGACTGGCAGGAGATTTCTTATCAGAACATGGGACACTAGAAGATAATGAGGCAATTCCTTAAAATTCTAAGGGAAGAGATTTTGCCCTAGAACTCTAGACCCGACCAAACTGCCAACTCAAAAGGCTGCCACAGCCAGGTGGTATCTCAAGTGTCAAACCAGCCACATTCCAGACACGGGACATTATCGGGGCATTGGCTCCTGCAGAGTAACAAAGAAACATAAAAATAAAATTTAAAAAGAGAAACAAACAACAGCATGTGAGTAGATACTGCAGAAAGAGGAGAACCAAGACCTGCTGAAGGGACCAGGTACAGACCGCTACCAGTGGACACCCACGAAGATGCGGTGGTGAGGAGGGGCCAGGAGGGGCTGTGTGTGGGTGGACGCCTACCCTGATCCCCACCGCGAGCACTAAGAGAGGAACTCACAAACACACAGAAAGGAAACGGACAGGAATCAAACGGCACACCCCAAACAACAAAGCCCGCAGACGAGGTGGCGACACAGGCTGGAGGGACGAGCGCTGTGAGGCCCCAGAAGGCACAGGGCCGACGGCAGTGCCTCCCTTTCACAAGCACGTGGCGCCCCGCCAAGAGCAAGTGGCTGCAGCTCCACCACCAAAGGCAAGGGTGGTCAGGAAGGGCATCTGACACAGCCGGTAACAAAGGAGAGCGGAGTGGCTGCGCTCGCTCGGACAGCACAGGCACCAGGTCAGAGTCACTGTTAGACAGAAGGACACCACGCACTGACAGGTCCGTCGAGGAGATACAGATCATCAACCACCCTCCCACAGGGGGCCACCAAGCACAAGGAATGGGGGGAAGAGGACTAGGGAGAAGGACAGTTGTCCCCAGCAGCTGCAGTCCCCAGTGCCTCTTAATTTAGGAGGGACAGACATCCAGAGCGGTCCCAGAGAGAGCACCGCAGACCAGCAGCAGTGCATGCTGTGCCCCAGAGCAGGAGCACACCCCCTCGGTGCAAGGGGGCACCCTCCTGGATGCCTGGTGCCAGGACACAAAACCATCAACCAAAAACATAAGAATGTCTCTCTGACCACGGAAAAGTTAAACTCCATTTCAGTAACAGAAGGAAGACAAAATGCAGTCAGTGAACACTAAGCACTCACTCTTACAATCCACAGGTGGAAGAGGAAAGCGCTTGGGAAATCAGAGGTGCCCGTGGCCAGGGGGACAGGCAGGGCACAGCGCGGCAGCGCTCGGCGCGGTCGGTGGCTGCAGAGGCTGCACACAAGGGGTCTTGGCCCCCTGACCTCGCCCCTCAAGGAACCAAGAAAAGAGGAGCATGTGAAACAGAGAGCAGGGCGAAAACAGTAAAGACCGGAGTAAAGACAAAGCGAGACCAGCTGGACAAGGCTGGCTCCTGGGAGAGAAGGACACAGTGACAACACGGAGGAGAAAGCAAGAGAAGAGTCAGAGCCGGACGTCAGAGGTGGTGGGCCATGTTCAGAGATCTCTTATTTCTCGGCCCAGAGACGCAGACACCTGAGTAGACTATCAAAGACAGAGCCTCAGGGGCCAAGTCCTCCTGGAGAGGAGCCTAGGACAGCGGCTTCCAGTGCTTCCCAGAGGAGCACTGACCCGTCCCAGGAGAGAGCTCCTCCTCCAGGCTGGGGGTGCACTGAGGCGCAAGCCACGCACCCCGCGGGAACGGGAAGGGCAGTGTACGCCCAGGTCCCCAACAGGCACGAGCAGACCGAGTCCAGCACCCATCTCCACCCACGGGGCTGTCTCAACGTCTAGAGAGGCTTAGCACAGGAGGCCCCCAGGCCAGGTGTCATCTCCGCAGAGCCAGAGGCCACCTGATCACCACACACACAGCGGAAGAAGCCGCTGGCAAATCCAATCCTGTTTCATGATTTTAAAAAAATCTGGCTAAAATAGAAAAAAGAACTTCCCCTTCCTCATTTATAAACCCACAGGGAACATCACATTTGACAGTGGAAGACAGGGCTGGCGTGGAGCTCAGGCGCAGATGTGAGGCCCTGGGTGTGACCGCCCCCAACCTGGGAAAGGATGAAAGGTTTTCTCTAAGATCAGGATAATAACAAGGGTGCCCACTTCCTTCATATATCTATTTATTTATTTATTTTTTAGGTTTAGGTGGACACAATATCTTTATTTTTATGTGGTGCTGGGGATCGAACCCAGCGGCCCGCAGGCAAGCACGCTACCCCTTGAGCCACATCCCCAGCCCAAGGGTGCCCACTTTCACCACTGCTATTCAACATTCTCTAGAAGCTTTAACTAAAGTAATTAAATAAGAAAAAGAAATAAAAAATCCAAATCAGAAAGGAAGAAGTAAAACTCTAAACATGAAACTCTAAAAGCCCACAAGAAGAAGGGGGAGGAGGAGGAGGAGGAGAAAACTATTAGCTAATAAGTTTAGAAAAATTTTAGGATACAAGATCAACACACACACACACACACAMAAAAAAAAATCCTGTTTTTTCTATCTACTAAAAACAAATAGTCCAAATGGGAAATTCAGAAACGATTTACAAAAAAGTATCCCAAAGCTCTGGTAATCCAAACTGTGGTACAGCAGAAGAGCAGACGCACAGACCAGCGGAGTAAGATTCACAGTCCAGAGAGGAACCCATACCTCTGTGATTGATTGGTTGGTTCGTGTGTGTGTGTGTGTGTGTGTGTGTGTGTGTGTGTGCGCGTGTGTAGTGCGAGGATTGAACCCAGGGCCTTGTGCACACAAGCAAGCACTCTACCAACTGAGCTATGTCCCTAGCCCTGACTGATTTGTTCCTGAAAAGTAAAAGGACAATCCAATTCTTAATCAAACGGTGTGGGAACAACTAACCACAGACAAAAGAGGAAGTTAGACCCTCATCTTCTACCATGTATCATTATTTTAAAAAATGTGTACTAACTAGTTATACCCAACAGTGAATGCACTCAGATCCGTCCTACATAGACGGAGTGTGATTTCTCATCCTTCTGGTTGTACATGATGTAGAATCCCACCAGTGCTCCCTCTGAGGTGCACGTGACAAAGATGTCTTCCCACTCTGCAGGCTTTCTCTTCATGTTATTGACTGTTTCCTTTGCTGGGAAGCAGCTTTTTAGTTTAATTCCATGCTACTTATTGATTCTTGATTTTGCTTCTTGTACTTTAGGAGTCTTGAAGTCAGGTCCTAAGCTGACAGGATGAAGATTTGGGCCTACTTTTTCTTTTTCTTTTTTTAATAAAGGAAGTGCCTTTTTAAAATAAATAAATAAATAAATAAATAAATAAATATACACACACACACACACACATATACATATAAAGTTTTTTAGGTGGACACAATAACTTTATTTTATTTTTATGTGGTGCTGAGAATTGAATCCAGTGCCTCATGCATGCTAGGCGAGCACGCTACTGCTTGAGCCACATCCCCAGCCCCTACTTTTTCTTATATTAGACGCAGGGTCTCTGTTCTAGTCCCTAAGTCTTTTTTGAAAAAAAATTTTTTTAGGGCCTGGGGATGTGGCTCAAGCGGTAGCGCGCTCGCCTGGCATGCGTGCGGCCCGGGTTCGATCCTCAGCACCACATACCAACAAAGATGTTGTGTCCGCCGAGAACTAGAAAATAAATATTAAAAATTTAAAAAAAAAAAATTTTTTTTAGTTGTTGATGGACCTTTAATTAATTAATTCATTCATTCATTTATTTGTGGTGCTGAGATTTGAACCTAGTCCCTCACACATGCCAGGCAAGTGCTCTACCACTGAGCCACAGTCCCAGCCCCATAGTTTCCCAGTCTTTGGTCCACTTTGACTTGAGTTTTGTGCAAGGCGAGAGAGATAGGGGTTTAATATCATTTTGTTACATGTGGTTTCCAATATTCCCAGCATCGTTGTTGAATAGGCTATCCTTTCTCCAATGAATGATTTTGGCACCGTTGTCTGGTATGAGATGACTGTATTTATGTGGTTTGTTTCTGGTGTCTTATATTCTGTACCACTGGTCTATGTGTCTGTTTTGGTGCCAATACCATGCCATTTTTTTTACTATGGCTCTGTAGTATAGTTTAATAAGGTCTGGTATTGCGATGCCTCCTGATTCACTCTTCTTGCTAAGGATTGCTTTGGCTACACCTCCTACCATTTATAAAATTCAAAATGGATCAAAGACCCATAAAAGAGCTAGAAATATAAAGCTCTTCGAAGAAAACAGGGTAAATCTTCATGACTTTTATTTGACAATGAATGTTTTTTTAGATATAACTCCAAAAGCACATGCCACAAAAGAAAAAACAGATACACTGGATTTCATGAAAAGTAGAAATTTTTATATATCAAAAGATAATTATCACGGGGCTGGAGTTGTGGCTCAGTGGTAGAGCACTTGCCTGGCTGTGTGAGGTACTGAGTTCGATCCTCAGCACTACACAAAAATAAGTAAATAAAAATAAAGGTATTGTGTTCATTTACAACTAAAAATTTTTTTTTAAAAAGATAATTATCACAAAAAGTAAAAAAAAAAATAAGAGTGGGAGAAAATGTGTGCAAATTACATATCTAATAAAGCTTTAGTATCTAAAACATTTAAAGAACTCCTACAATCAAACAATAAAAGTCAAACAACCCAATTTAAAAATGGGCAAAGACTTAAAAGACATTTCTTTAAAGATATACAAATGGTCAACAGGGACATGAAAAGATGCTYAGTCACCGGGCAAATGCAAATCAAAACCACGAGAAGCTCTGTACCCACCAGGATGACAACTGTGATGACGATGATGGCGACCACCACAGACAGGGGACTTGGCGCCCCTGGGAGGTGGACAGTGCAGCTGCTGCAGGAACAGCATGATGGCCTGTGAATCAGGCCACTGGCAGTTCTACTCGAAGGCATACGCCCAAAGGACTTAAAAACCAGTGCTCCAGTAAAACCTGCCCCTGAATGTTCCTGCTAGCCCACTCCGGGAGCCAGTGCCCCCATCACTGACGGGAGAAGCGAATGTGTCCTCTCTAGACTTCCAACAAAAGGGGGAGCGCCAACACTCAGTGGCAAGACTGGACAAAGGGGCCAGGAGCAGGAGCCCCAGGCCCTTTTGACTGGTTTGGTGCCAGGCGGGTGCATGGGCAGTCCGTGGGGACAGAGGAGGCCGCAGGCGGAGCGCCACGTGCCAAGTGGCCCACAGAGCTTACTTCCCAGAGTCCCTGAGGCACCGCGGAGGCGCTGTCGGTCAGGGCTGCCTCCCTGCTTTCTGGGGTGCTCCTGAGAGGCAAAGGACTCTCTGGCCTCCATCACCAGGCTCTTGAGACTCCACCCCCATGCCTCAGTGCCTCTGAATAGCCCCATCTCCTAACACATCACAAGGGGTGAGTCTGGGGTGCACTGACTGGGGAGTGGGCACCAACACTCACACCACGGCAAATAAGAAACTGAGGTCCAGCTGGCCCTGGACAGGCAGCAGAACTGACCACCACCAGCATCTGAACAACGTGGAACTCACTGCACTCTGCAGGTGACAAGGAATCACGAATCACTTACTCACCTCCTCGGGGAGAAGGAGACTCATGGCCTCCAATGACCACCAGGATGCCTGAGTCCTCCAGCTTCGGTCTCCACTTTTCAATTATCGTCATAGACTTATCCTGGAAGTGGGGCATTGGTAGGTCAGGAAACCTCCCTGGAAACAGTCCAGCATAAACTGTACGGGGCTGTCACCCACGAGAACGCCCACAGGTACCTTACTGGCATCATTGAACACGGAGAGCTCCATGGTGCCTTGGAAGTCCTGCTGCAGCACAGACTCCAAACATGCATCCAGCCACAGCTCCGCATTGTGGACGGGGAGGATGACAGACTGGAATTCAAAGGCATGGGTGAGCAGGGTGGGAGAGCCCAGAGGCCCCCCAAATCACAGCGCCAGTCCTGACCTGCAGAACCAAGAGCAAGACTCCCAGCATGGCTACGCCACACCACAAGGAATCGGCCAGGAGCCAAGCCTAGTGTTCTTCCCCTGAACAGTCCTGTCGGCTCTCCCTGGACTCGCAGATGCTGGCAGAGGGGGAGAATCAAAGGATATCAGGGGATCCCCAACTGGTGGTCATCTCAGGTTCTCAGTCTTGGTCAGAAACCACTGTTCTGGTTAAACAGGGGTCCGGGTACAACTGGCTGGCCCCTGGCTGAGTGGGGCACCTCTGCCAAACTGAGGTCAGAGACGGCAACCAAGGAAGCCCTGAACACCCCTGTAGGAGCAGTGTGTGCTACCAGGCTGGCTGGCACTGGCACGTCCTGTCCTCAGGGAGCCCCTACCTCCTAACTACCACAGGAGACGGCCTTGGTTTTACACATTATCATAGTGAGTGATACACGAGAGGACCACCTCCTGAATGAGAAAGCCAACAGGAGCAAGGCCAGGCCAGGTCTGGACACATGGACGTCCATGCCTATGCTGCTCAGCTACACATTAGATAATTCCACTCAGACATGACTTTAAATCACTAAAAACATAGTTATGAACAGCTCACAGATGTGTGCTGAAAATACATTTCACAACGTTTTTACAAACGAAATACCACTTGAGGATCTGATCCCAGTGACATCTCCTCTTGCTTATGTGTACATCCATGAGTTCCATAATTTATTTCCAGATTAACTTTGCTTAGGATCATCCTTTTTAAAGGAACAGGACATTTTTACTTTTTCAAGATCTGTAAGAGATGTGCATTCCTGTCAGTGATGCACCTTGATCAATCTGCCCCCGATTTCCGTAGCACTGGCATGAAAGATGCAGGCTCTACATGGACCACAGCAAAGCTGTATCCACTGTTCAATGCCGGGGAACCTGACTCCACGTCTGTTCTGCTTCCCACACTGCAGCAGACGTGGGAAGCAGGTGCAGGTGTAGCCGCCTGGTGTGCAGGACAGGAGCTATGGGCAGAAGCACCAGGCAAGAGATCCCGACCAGGGGCTGGGGATGTGGCTCAAGCCGTAGCGCGCTCGCCTGGCAGGCGCGGGGCACTGGGTTGGATGCTCAGCACCACATAAAAATAAAATAAAGATGTTGTGTGCGCAGAAAACTAAAAAATAAATATTAAAAAAAATTCTCTCTCTCTCAAAAAAAAAAAGATCCTGACCACAGTACAGTGCAGGCAGAAGCCTGGGACTGCAGCTCAGGGCAGTGCGCAGGGCAGGAGCCGGGGCCTGGAGCTCAGGGCAGTGTGCAGGGCAGGAACCGGGGCCTGGGCTGCAGGTGGTGCACAGGGCAGGAGCCGGGGCCTGGGCTGCAGGTGGTGCACAGGGCAGGAGCCGGGGCCTAGAGCTCAGGGGAGTGTGCAGGGCAGGAGCCGGGGCCTGGGCTGCAGGGGAGTGTGCAGGGCAGGAGCCGGGGCCTGGGCTGGAGGTGGTGCACAGGGCAGGAGCCGGGGCCTGGGCTGGAGGTGGTGCACAGGGCAGGAGCCGGGGCCTGGGCTGGAGG